GTGTCAGGAGAAATGAGTATGGCGCGATGCCAAGCCGTTCTCCGGTTATTAAAGCGAGCAATTGGCAAGACTGTATCATAGCTCTACCCTTTTTCTTGTCCCAAACCCGCTTCAACAAGTAGCACAACATGAGTTTGGCGCCGCGCCGAACTAATCCTCCCTGACACGCCCCATCATCCGCAGCGACCTAGACTATAATATGAACGAACTCATCCACGAATTCGATGAGTGGCAATGTTGACTTTTTATTTTTAGGGATATAACAACCGCGATTACCGCCAAAATGATCGTGAATGGAGTCGAGGTGAGCAGATAGCTGAGTTGGATCAGTTGACTTGGCAACAGCGAGAAATGGAACGCAACGATAACTACCGTGACAGACAAGGTTGTTTTCTTTCTTCCTGTTTCTTCCTTCTTTTCTGTTAGCCATAAGCTTATGTGAGCAGAAAAAGTGGGAGGCTCCTACGGTGGTTGGTTATTTGGTCACCACAAGCACACAAGCAAACTTAGCTCTTCCATAGCCGATCTGAAGACACATCTCATGTCCTAGCTCTCATCATTAGGCTTGTGTTAGTTAGTATAATTCGAGTTTATTACGTGTGCAGGCATACGTGAGAAAAAAAGATCGGAACACATTACATATACTTGATAAGTTAGTTACAATTTTTCGAAAACAGAAATAACCAGCAAAATACCAGCTTATCGACCAGTCTTGAGAGCTGGACCTTAATAACCTTTTGGAAATACGGTGTCTGAACTGAGCATGTGACGAAGTGGCAGGTATGGCTTTTGTTAACTTCAAATACGCGCTGCCCGCCCTGAAGGTGAAGCTCTTGGCACGTAAATTAGTCTTGGGTTTTGACAAATAGATCTTCATGGGACCACCTCTAGTGTTCGAATGAACCATTCTGAAGACATTACGGGAACCAGACCCGCGCGGTCTTTCAATGTGTTAATCGTAATGCAAAATTTTTATTCATTTTTCTGCTGGCCACACATTTTTACGTGTGGGTTTCGTTATTTTGATTTTGTCTCCTTCAGGTGTACCGCATAGGGATCCCATGTAATAAAGAGTGATAATTTCAGGCCGTCGCGACTACGTTTATAGGCAGCGGCAGTATAACAAATACGACGATGATCGCGAGGAGCCGGTAAGCCTACGAAATATCAACAATTATAAATATGAGAATTCTTTTTCTTTACAGGTACCTGAAGATCCTCGTGTGGACAGAAACGATGATGATGGCTGGGCTGAAGTAAGTCAAAACAATATGGTTATTTCGAGCTGATCATTATACCTCACGATCAAATTGCTAGGTTCTATTAAAGATTGCACGGCGATGTGGTCTGTTGCACACCGGCCGGTGACAGCCCATTGTGCCGTCGGAGGTGCACTCGCTTGGCGAGGGCTGAAAGCGGGCTGCCAGATAATAAGCGCCAACTGGTCATTGATGTCGTAGTATTTGATTACTTCTCTAATCAACAGAAGTTTGATATGACAATAAGGCTCGAAGATTATCTGCGAAAAAACCTCAGCTTTCTGCCGCATAGCCTTGGGAGCTACTTCTATCATGATTACTGTTCCGTCTTTCCAAGGGATGTTTTTGGACGGATTTGTTCAGAGGTTATATTTTGAACCTACGTTCTGAGTGGTAGTTTATTGGCCACACCACCAACTGAGCCTATCCTAAAAGAGTCACCAGTGGTGCGTGCCGTTTCATATAGCCTTTGCCTTGGCTCGTCCTGAGAAGTAGTTCTTCACATTTGCTAAGAGTATAGCATGGACACATTGTGATAGGAGCCTTGGAATCAGTGCGACAGAGAGTTCACGATTTGAAAGTCCTGGAAAGCTTAATGGTTTGGGCTACTGAGTTTTTTTTTGCTGTGATTTGGGCTATTGAACGTTTTTGCTGCTGGTATTACTAGCGGTCTAGTGCACTGTCCTCTTTTCCCCATGCTTCCGTAGTATAACTCTTCACAAATGAAAACTGCCCGATTTTCAATTAATTTTATCCTTGATCGATGTTTTAAGATGGACTACCAAGCAGTTGGCTATCATCATGACCAGCAGGACCAGCACCAACACAAACACAATCGTCATTACAATCGACCATACAATCGTGGTGGCTACCGTGCACGAAACCGCGGATATTTCAATAATCGTCAAAATCACTACAATCGTGATGGTGAGGAATAGTGCAGATGTTTCGCTATTACTTCAGTGGCATATTTGAGAGTCGAACTATAAGTCCCCTGACGTAAAATTCCGACTTCACTTTATTCATTCTATTCGACTTTATCGTATCTTAGCGATGCGGAGGTTGGGGGGGGGGGTGTTTGGTCACACTGAAGAGAATGTTTAATACCGATTCTCATTCGCTATTATTCGTCCTTGAGCTCTGAGTGGTTTTTCCCTTTGCTCCCTTCGAGAACCGTGATTTGTGGGCGGACGGGGCCAGGAAACGAAGTCATTGGTCCGCGCTCTAGGCAGAAATGAGGGAAGCGACGGCTCCTTTCTTGCGCCGTCCGGGTGTCTTCGATACACTCCCATTCAGGAAAGTCGCCCCGCAATTCCTCATAACCTGTTTCATATTCAGTAATGTTCAAATGGTTGCAGTCCTTATATTTTTCTTGAAGTAACAATTTGCTAACATAATTCACACAACCTCCTAGTTGACAGTCATTTTCAGATGGTCGCCGAGACATTCAGGAAGATGAAAGAGGTGATCGCGACAGTGGTGATAATAAGGACATGGATGTCAACCCGTGAGTAGTAGAGATCTTTGAATCCCATGTTGCTTTTTTCTAGGATATTTGAATTCTTTGCGCTCAGATTATTTGTGAAAAGCGTTTATCTTTCCATTTGCAGTCGAAACAATGATCGTGGTTTCTATAGGCAAGGCGGTGCCAAAAACTATGACAACAATAGAGGGTGAGTTGTTCTGTTCCAGTCCTAATCCGAACCCCCCCCCCTTCCAAAAATTAATCAGACTCAGCACTATCATTGTAATGTAGCATGGGGCGGGGAAGGAGAGGAGGTAGTCAGCCTAGTTTCTGTGAAATAGCCGGGTCAATTTGTGGAGATCTACAATTTTCGTAAAGCTGTGAACCGGTACTGGCTTCATTTTCATACCACTTTTTCGTAGTATCATCACCCACTATATATAATTTGCTTCGTCTGTTTGTTTGTTTGTTTTGTTTGTTTGTTTGTCTGTTCGGAAATTCGGTTCTACCAGAAGAACAACTTGGAGAGGTGGGGTCATGGTGGGGATGTACCCATCCCCACCTTGACCCCACCCTCCAAGTGCAACATGGGCAAGGGGTTGTCGAACCAATCACGGGAGACATACCCGAAATGGGCGGGGCTTCCTTGAGATAAAGCGATGCTTCCCGAGAATTAACTCTCTTCTCGAGAGAGTTTAGAAATCGCAAAAAAAGTCGGTGTAATACCTGGGCAAAGTTCGGCATGCCTGAGCTGTGCTGAGACCGGCCGTGGGCGGAGCTTGCTCTCATTTATAGGGTGCACCTTCAAAAAATTTGTACGGTCGCCGATTGAGAAATGTGGGGCACACATGTTGTGGGCGGTACCAGTCCGAGGTGGGCGGAGACAGACGAAAGTTCTGCAAAACGGTTCCAGAGCACTTTAGAGACGGGAAAATATAGGTCAAGGTCAAGGGCCGCTGGCAAAAATCGTGGGTACACATGTTGTGGGCAGGTCCAGAGCACTCCAGGGACCGGAAAAAAAGTGGATTAAGGTCAGCAAAGGGTCGCCGGTAAGAAATGTGAGGCACACATGTTGTGGAGGAGCCTGCCCGAGGTGGGCGGAGACAGACAAAAGTTCTGTAAAACACGGAAGTGGATGGTCAGGAGGGATCATTGTTTGATGCGGCACACAGCCGTTGTAGGCGGAGCGTGCGGCTAGGCGGCGGAGCCAAACGCAGAAATATAGAATGGTTCCATAACAGACTCCAGGCACCGGCAAAGACGAGCAAAAATGTGCAGGAGCTCCGCTATTGAAGCGAGATTTATGCGCCCATTCTGTGCGGAGCTGTGTCGATGTTGTGGGCGGGCGAAGGTCAAAAACTCAAGAAGTGTTGCACAGCACAATAGGCACCGGAGACAGATGGGTTGAGGTCCACAAGGACCAAGTGGAGGAGACATCTCAAAAATGGGCGGCTGCTTTCGAGATGGGCAGGCTCTTGCTGAAAAATTTCGTGGTTCGCATCTGAGTGAGCTTGGAGATCAGGAAAAACTTTGAAGAGAAACATATGGCGAGAGTTCAGCATGTGTGGTGTTTTGAGACCCGCCCACAGTGGGTGCAGCGTGTTCTCAAGCACGGGGGTCCCTACCTCCTTTTCTAATAGGGCCAGGCTTTGGCGGTTTTGCTTACTTCGTCGCGCCCACCTGCTTGCATATGTTTGAATGCTCAACTAACACCCGGTTTCTCTCTCATCTGCGCATTTGATCAACGCTGCTTACCACCATTCATAGACGGTAATAGTGTAGAAAAAAGCAGTATTATTAGAAAAATGTTATTGCTCAAGGAGCGTTGACTATGTGTGCAGGTGAAATAAAAGCCGGATAATTGTTGAGTATCCAGTGTAGAAGGAGGTAAGCGCGGCGAAGCCGCGCCCGCCCGGCGAAGCCGGGCCGTATCACGGAAGGAGGCGCGCCGGCGTCAACCGGCGAGCCGGCTGGTATAATATAACATACAATGGAGGGATCCCTCTCTTACTGGTCAGCACCAAACCTCAACCGTTCATTGCCGTGTTCTCCTTGCTTCCAACATAATTGCTGTCATGATTTAGCATCGATCACGATCGCGAAAAGCACTCAGAGAAAAGTCGTGTTTTCTACAATAGCAACAAGAATCTGTATTCAGGTAGTATTACTTTACTGGTAGATTTTTCACCTTTCTCTGAGGTGTACCTGATAGAGCGATCACGCCGTGTATTTCAGACCGACGGCGTCGTGGATCGAATTCTAATTACAATTAAATAAATTATCTTGTCCTTTATTCTGTGCGGATCCACATAGCTTGAATCTTTTCGAGCAAAAGAATTCAAGAAAGCCGCTCCGTGATTTCTACTATTTATAATATATTTTTTTTGTTGATTTACTTCATATAGTCGAATGCCCACACAGTTTTTAGCGTTATTTTTCATCGACTCCGCCCTCGTTCACTTTTCGTTGTGCGTTGCTTTCGTTGTGTGTATGGTGAATATGCTGCGTTTGATAGCTAATGCCTTTTTTTATATTGTAGGTGAATTTGCTCGACTTATTGTAAATAGTATAGTATTCCTTTAATTCACTCATGCGCTTTTTATTCTCTTTGTGAAGGCTTGCTAAGCCTAGTCATCCCTATTCCTCACAACTTTCATAGCAAAATTCTATTTTTAACCTTACATTTGTTAACCATGTAAGGAGTTTGAGTGGGTGTTGTACTTCTCCTTGTTCTGTTGTTTCTTTTTTCTCACACTGAACTAACAACCAAAAAGCATGAGCGTTTTTTCAGATTTTTCTCTTTGTCTCTGGTATTATGCGACCATTTCTCTCGATTTATTTATCAAGCGCAACTCTGTACCATAATAGTAATGACTGATGTTTTACACCTTGAAGACATTCCCCGTGATCAAGTGGTCCGCGAAGTGCCTCCGTGCCTGTGGCATCGTTGTCTGAAAGTGGTATCGCAGAGAAGATACCACTTTCATCACTCGAAACGACGAGATAAAGAAGCTAGAGACGCGTGACTATTGCAACGATTACTTTCACTCTGCAAGACAACGGCTTACAAGCGGAATTGCGTGTGTACATAGCGTTGCCTGGAGCGTCGTAGGGCGATTTCCTATGCTCTTGCCGGGAACTGGTTGCACGTCGAATCCTGCTGATTGGGCTTGTCTGACGTCCGACAAACTCGTCCGAAGGCGCCGTATCCCACTGCTGGGGGTCACTGTTCAGGGTGTTCCCAGTTTTTTTCCGCTTCTTTCTCTACTATGGAGTTACTTATGGGCTACTGGTTCATGACGGAGCACCTACTACGCGTCCCACTTGATCGCGGGAAGTGTCTTCGAGTGCATGTAGTTCTAGGAAGTCGATGCAGAATGTTTTATGCCGAGAAATGTTTCGGTACTGATTTTTAGGTCTTGTTTCTCTTTTGTTCGCCCGAGAATGATGGGGTCGATCGGAATGGAACGGACAGGTAGAGACTGTCAGCACAAGCCCTCCATCTCGGCGTCTCTATCACCCAATGAGTTGCTTGAATGCATAGTATAGCCCCTAAGGTGATTCGGCTGTGGACGATGTTCCCAGCTATCTTTAGGTGTTCATTAAATGTTCTAACAGCTGTCATGCAGTTCATACCCTACCCGGAATGTGGATTTTGCACCACGGAATTAGTGATTGCTTGTACTAATGTCATGTTGCTCTATAGTAACCTAGCTCTATAGCTTGTGGTTTGTTCACCATTATTAGATAATGTATCATGCTGCTCCTCTCGTATCAAAGATATCCGCGTGTTTTTACACTGTTATTATTGTCATCGTATTGATATTTAAAAGCGATTTCTCGGCATTCTTTCATAGTTTCTTGTTTTGCTCGGATGATCTTGTACTTCTCTTTTCATGCGTACTCGTTTAATCACTACCATTATAACATTGTTTCGCGGTTAAAATAAAAGAGTGTTTTTTTTCCGCTTCTCGAAGCAAGATCGGTGTGTATTTGCCTATTCCAAATATGTGTATCGAATTTTATTTATATGTCCTTTACCAATGAGTAATATCAGTGATGGAGTCCGTTTACTCGAATTAAAATTAGAAGTTTAAGTGAATCAAGACTGAGAGCTGGTATGTCTGCTCGCGGAGGTGATCCATCACCCTCACCGTCCAGATCGTCATCTTTCACGGGTCTCAAATATGTATCGATTTTTGATGACAAAACGAGGACGATTACTACAGTAAGAATTTGCTTTGATAGCATAATAGCATGCAACCGTTGAGGAGCATGGCCCCTGATGGGCTGCATCAGCCTCGCCGAGGCCGTAACGGGTCTGGGTAGTAGGAGTGTACGGTTAACAAGACTTCGCTGAGCAGAATTCGGTCGTACAATTGCGTCGTAGGTGCGATCGAAAGTCTGGACGATGCCGCACTGTCCCGCTGTGACTTCATTATGTGAAGTCAACTAGTTAGTAAATGCTCCATGGGTTTGTATGCGTCACCGTGCGGCACTGAACTGCGACATATTGTTCATAACGAGAAACGGAAGCTGACGACTTGGTGATGGTGTCTCATAAATACGGTTGATTTCGTCACATTCAGCCAGGGCGATTTCAGGAGGTATGGAACGAGCCCACCATTAGGTTTCTTCACCCCTGGTGATTTCCTTCCTAAGTCGATCACCGCTGGTGTAAAAGTCAGGGCGGCGGCGACTATCCACCCCTCCTGACACCGCTCGGACTGCTGAGGCGATATCAACTACACGTCCCTAATCCTTTTTTCTAGGCTCATCCTCTTCGACGGCCTCTTTTAGAACACTATTGCAATTGATTTCAAGCATTACAAAAACAGGTGGCAATAACACATCGAGTACCCGTAGCTGCCGACGGCATGGCGAGAGACTGTATAATGCAAGACTAGGGTCCAAACGCACGAGCCATTAGCGTTCATTTTACGAAGCAGTCTGTAGGCGGAGCAGCAGCGTAGGACAGAGCAATCAGGAGAATACTGGTAAATGAAGGAGTTACAACCGGTTTTTGTTCGCTAAACAAAATTGTATGGTAGAGTTCTGGTTGGCCAACCACAGCATACGTTCCAACTTTATTCGTCTTCCCAGGCGCTGAAGATTCCACCAGTGTGGGACATTTGCTCATCTCACTGCTACAAGCGTTAGCTGGGCGGATTTGGTTGTGATAAGATCAGGAATCGACCAGGTTTCGTGATGGGTTATAATGGGTTCACAGCGTTCTCAGTGGGAATTACTGCAGTGGAAAATACTGCTGTCGGCGAATCGCTCGACCTGAGTGGCGCGTTCATACTATACAGTATGACAACTCCATTCTTATGTGAAATGTAAGCGATTAGTAAAATTGATGAAAATTGTATCTAGTTCGGAGTTCTACTAGTTGGGAATTCAGGAGCAACTCGGCTATGGTGCTTGTCGATCTGTGAACGAATTTGTGAAGTTGAATCGTATTGGAGAAGGTACCTATGGAATTGTTTATCGAGCAAGGGACTCTAAGAGTGGACAAGTGGTATGCAAGTGTGAATTTACATAATCAGGTTTTTTTTGTGCTGAAAGTTGGCCAGGGCGAAACAAGAGGAACTAGTCATCAAAAAGAGCATTCGATATGCCTACGGGCAACCAGAATTTCATACCTTCAAATAAGGCAAATCAAAAGCATTTGAAAGGTTTCAACTCTGCGGATCAACGCCGAGCGTCGGCTACTCGGCTCGTAACCTTAAAAATATGAGTACTCATGTGTCTCGGTAAATTCATCACAAGATACACGTAGGGTACCTTGGAGGGGATCCTTTCCATGCGCGACATGTGGAAGGCCGCAGCAGGAAGCGTAGCACTCTCTCATCTAGAAAGTGCACGACAACTCGGAAGCCTTTCTTGGTTTTCTCTATGTATACGCCCGCATTTGATTCGCGCCACGCCCTCTGCATACACGCCGTACGCCTAGCAGGCAGCTAGCTGTACGACTTGAATAGGAGTCACAGCGCTGACTGATGGAAGACTGTGACCATTGACTGGCCACAGTCCTTCCATCCTGCTATGGTGTATTCATAACCTACTCGTCGTGTATCGAATGGGGATGGAGGGGCAAGTAACGTAAAACTATCGCAAGGCTCTACGTTTATCATGTTCATTTGAATAGAGGACTGTTCCATATTTACTACTACTGTTCATGAGTTCACTTAAAGGATTCGCCTTTCAGGTGATTGTTTTGTTAAAGAAACTGAACTCACCTGCCAAGGCAGGGAACGCCATCGCGTTGTGATCATTTCCTGAGAAGTACGACCCCCTAAAATTTGTTGTCGAGCAGTACCCAATGTAAAACAGGAAAATTTCTAGGATATTCCCTATCCTCCTATCAGTTTTTTCACAATTTTTCGAAAAATTTGTGTTTTTCCACAAAGTTTTGGGGGGAGGTCGTCAGGATTCAACTATCATTTTCAACTATCGGAAATAGTAGTTGTATAGATCTTTGGCAGTCCCTCTCTCAACAACGGCCAAATACGACCCCCTTTATACCGTCCGTGAAACAAGAGAAATCAACTACCAAAAAAATTTTCCTCAGACCAAATACGACCCCCTCCCTCGCGGTCAAATACGACCCCCCCCCTTGTGATCATCACAACGATGGCGTGCCCTGCTGCAAAGACAGTCTTTTCGATGTGTGAGTGAGTGGATCCGCATCTGCAATATGTAGCATATCGTTTTCTCCGCGGTCAAAACTGCATGGGAGCAGGAATGGGGAGTAGGGTGCTCAGGTGCTGTCCCCATACTCCTCCCATGCTTATCCTCACGTGCAGTGCATGCGGCACAATAATCAGCAGTGATAGGGCACAGTGGCGCACAACCGCGCCATTAGCTACAGTTAGGCTTGTGGTTAGCGGAGCACCAGCGCAGGCGGGATCGGAAGGCGACATAAGGATACCGCTATTCTCCAGCCCACTTCCGTGTACTTTGAGCTAAAAAGTGGCGCGCTACTCAAGTCGACAGTGAGAGAGTAAAACGTGACCACGGTGGCGTAGCGGTAACACATTACCCGGAATGGGTGAGTTTTGAATCTGCCAAGGCTAATTGTTTGCTGTTTGCCCCATAATCCTCGCTGCCTTCGAGAACGTCTACCTCATCCGGTAGGAACCGCTGCATTGGGTTCCATAGGGGTCAGTAGACTCAGAATTTTAATCTTATTGCTCTTGAATTCATCCAATATTTGAGGAATATTGTGGAATATCTGAAGAGCTTCTATGACTTTGAATGAGGTTGTTCAGGTAGCCCTGAAGAAAGTTCGTGTCGATAGCAAAATGAGCGCTCAAATGGGAATTTCTGACTCTGCCCTTCGAGAAATCGTTCTGCTAAAGAAATTGAGGCACGAGAACATTGTGGAACTGAAGGAGGTGGCAGTGTCACGTGACCCTCAGGGCATGTTCCTTGTCATGGAGTATTGTGAGCAGGTTTGTGGAATCTGTTCTTCTTGACCACTTCATGTATAGCTCTGAATGCTTTACTTCAGGACCTCGCAAAGCTTCTTGATGAAATGGTGCATCCCTTTACGGAACCACAAGTGAAATGTCTCATGCAGCAGTTATTCAGAGCGCTCAACTACATGCACAGCCATTATGTGCTTCATCGGGACCTGAAGGTTCCTTTGTGTGCGCTTGATCACTAACGTTTACTCAGCTCCTTTTGTTAGTAATTTAGGTATCAAATCTGCTCCTTACCAGTCACGGTATACTGAAGGTTGCCGATTTCGGACTGGCAAGAGTCTTCGGTGATCCTGACATGAGTATGACTCCGCGAGTAATAACCCTGTGGTTGGTATGCTTTTTTATTCGTGAGTACCCATGAGACACCTTAATGAGTGTTTTCTTCTAGGTATCGATGTCCTGAACTGCTTTTTGGCAGTAAAACTCAAACAGCTGGTATAGATCAGTGGGCAGCCGGTTGTATCTTGGGCGAACTCCTTCTTCATCGACCTCTTTTGCCGGGAAAAAGTGACATGGAACAGGTGCTGTGGGTGTTTTCCAAGGTTGCAGGAAACGTTGCCATGCCTTGCCCATCTACGAGATATAAAATGCATGTTTCGCAGAGGTGTGAGGTGCTGAGTGATGCGCGCGAGTTGTGAAGTGGGTCCGACTCTCTGACGTGAAACTGTTCACTCGGTATCACACATCGGTAACAGTGTCCGATTTCCTGTGTAAGCGATAGCTGCTGGTGTATAAAAGCTCTGTTACACAGTCGTTATCACTGATGTTAGTCGAGCCCTGGGTTTCAGTTTTCAATAGTGAGGAAAGCTGTACGGTATCGTAATTGTTGACGTCGCAGAACACGTTAAGAATGTTCTGTGACGTCAGCGACACGTCATCTATCCCTTACAAGTAATGTATTGAGCCCGTGGCCCGTGTAGTCATGATTCATGCAAACAATAGGGCATGCGACGCGGCGCGGATTACAGCGCAGTACCGCACCTTTTTTTCATCAATGGTACCATCCTGAGCCCGTTACAGCCATGGGGAAATTGATCTGGACGCGCTACAAGCCATGCTCCCGTCACACGCCCTATCATTTGTAGGGATCAGTAAGGATGAGTGTAAGTATCGACGCAATGAACTCACAAGGGAGGTCGTTCAGGGCGTGGTGAGCTTTTTCAAAATGGTCTTGTGCATATTGTAGGGGCACATACGAGGACCAGAAAACTGAGGTTCATTTTCGCTGCGCGCTTCTACGAATAAAAAAAAACGTAAAAAATAGGTCGATGGTTCGGATCCCACCGAGGACAAAATTTTGCTTTTCTACAATTTTTCATTTTTTGGATCCATGTTTGTCTAAATAATTGGTCCTAACAAAAACATTCACGATAAACTGAACAATCCTACTTTTATGGAGCAAAACTGCTTTTTCGTTCGAATTCGTTAGTATGCACAGACTCAGCTCTTCGGCGCTATGCCGGTGCCAGATGGCACTGGAACCGAAAATAAAGTCTAGAATCGTGATCAGGACTGTCGATTACCCTAGGAGCAAGTTTTGAGCGAAAAATTTTTTTGACTTTTTCGGGTTGTAGGTGACCGACCATTTGGTCGGCAGTGTGAGCGGAGTTTCACATCTTCGTAACAGCGATGACGTATCGTTGACGCTACGGACCCCGGACAACCCAATAAGCAAACCCAAGAAGGTCAAAACAATTGTTTTACCCAAAAATTCGTTTTTAGTGGTAATCAGTGGCCCTGATCACAAATATAACACCTATTCTTGGCGTCCACGCAATTTGGCGACAGAATAGCGCTGAACGTTCCCTATATTGGTGTACATAACGAATTCAGTGGAAAGAAGATGTGGCCCCAAATTGGCTATAATTGACACCACACAAGTTACATATTCGCGATCAGATATACTGTGTAGCCTATGAAGATCAACGTTCAGCAACAATCCTGTTCAATGGTGCGTGAAAATCGAAATAGTTGAATAGCACTGACTCATGAGGTATAGCTACTCAGAATGTGCCCATAAATGGCAAATATCCGAGTTATATTCATGCGCAGACACAAATGGAAGCGAGAACAGCGAAATCTAAAAAATGCAAAAAGCCACGACGCAAGGGGAGCCGAACCATCAACCCCACCCTCACTGTCCGATTGCGAAACCTCCACTCTATCCGCTAGGCCATCCGTGCTCGATTTTGGGAAGCGCTCTTATCGTTGATGAAACCATTGCAAGAAGCCGTTTACCCTTGAGCACGTGACCCAAGTTGGAAGCTCACTTGCGGCGATTTTTCGTTTCGATTCAAGCCCTTGCTAGCCCTTTATAAGGACCCCCCCACTCAGCAACTGGTCAAAGTTGCAAGTGACCTACGCCGTATAGAGGCCCAGAACGAAGCAGATTCCAAAGATTTCTTTTCACTCGTTTTTTACCTTTCCTGGAAGCGCGCAGCGAAAATGAAGCACACTTTTCAGGTCCTTGCATGAGCCCCTACAATATGCAAAAAACCGTTTTCGAAAAGCGCACCACGCCCTGAACGACCTCCCTTGTCAATGGCAGTTGCTGGCCTTGCCAGCAGTGGATATACCTGTCAACATTGAGAGTTAGACAGCCAAAATGATCAGCATGGTCCCAGATCGTTAAGCTTCTTTTTTGGACGAGGACACAAAATAATTGAATTGAAGAGATATATGTACTTATACCAGTGTAGCATTCGCGTTACTCAACATGTGTAAAATGTACCGTTCGGTTTTTGTGTCAAAAAAACCAAAATATGGGATAATTTGAAAATAAAGTTGGCGTTGCTCTATGTGCCCAATTAAATGTGATGCGTGTTTCGCTTTTGTTTCTTTTTCTGGTTTGAAATGCTTCATTGGTGGAAATTTAGGGCAAAAGATGCTAGGGTGTAACGATAAATCGAAAGATTGCTCGGCAAAGTAGAATTTTAGAATTTCTCCATGAATTAATGGTTAATGTACTGCAGATCGACAAAATAATTGGACTTCTCGGTACACCAACAACGAAAATCTGGGCTGAACTAGATACGATGCCATTATTGGAGAACTTCACATTGAAAACGCAGCCCTTCAACAATGTTAAGGTCTCTTTCATTTTTCTCTTCTTCTTTGATCAGAGATTTCTCAGTATGCCTGTCGTACTCTGTTTACATCACCGGAACCAGTCGGGTCGCAATCAGTCGGTATCCACCTGCAGCGTTCCCACCACTGGCTGTTTTCTTCTTAAATCGATCACTACTCGATCACCATTGGTAGAGCAAGGCGGTTGGGCTGCGTTTATACTTTGCGGCAGCGTAAGCTTCCAGCGTACGCCAGCGGCAGTGTCGGGGAAAGGATAGATATCGATCTAGCGTTCCCAGCGTCACCAGCGTACGCTAGCGTAGCGAGGGCACGGGATGTATAGCTATCGATCTAGCGCTCCCAGCGTTTCACGAGCGTTTCACTAGCGTTTCGCTAGCGCTTGCAGCGGCAGGGAGTAGAGACTATGGGATAGTAGGAGAGTATTCTGTACTCTCCTACTCTTCTATACTCTCTAGCGCCGCCGAGTATTTTGTACTCTCCTACTCTTCTATACCCTCTAGCGCTGCCGAGTATTTTTATATTCTTCTATACTCTCTAGCCCGCCGCTGGCAAACGCTAGCGAAACGCTAGTGAAACGCCTACGCATACGCTGCCGCAAAGTATAAACGAAGCCTTACGTGACATCTTGAACTGCATGGTCCTGTTACGAAACCCTGTCACGCAGACGGATACTTGCGGAGTCACAACGGTTAGAGTGCCATGCGGGCGATAGAGTGCAGAGACAAAAGAGAAGATCGACGCGTTTAAAGGGACTTGAGTTCAAGTTGTCCGTAGACAAGAGCAAAGCAGCCGAAGGCAGGATCATGCTGCACTGCTCTGACCGCCCCGATTGGTTACGATGTTATAAACTGTACGTGTGAGCTGCCATGTAGTAAATCGATGAAAGTTACTAAGTAGCATTTTTAGGTGGTTTTCGAGTCAGCATCCCCGTCAGCTGTAGATCTGTTGAACGCCTTGTTCATGTATGATCCCAAGAAAAGAATTAGCGCTGCTGACGCTCTAGCACATCCATTCTTTACGGTGAGCTCTTGATATTCAACGCCAAGTAGAAAGAGCTGATTTTTTTACAACCAATGGGCGAATCACTATAATGTCGATAGGAGCTTGTCACTCCTTGAATAACACCCTCGAGAATTACTGTATTAGCAGTAAGACAGCATTTCACTAACAAGGGAACCCCAACAGGTCGATCCGGCCATTTGCAATGAGATGTATAATATGGACGTGTCTTGAGCCGCTGAATCCAAATCTGCCCTCCGAATTTGCGGAACGATTCTCTGAAGGGAGTTACGGACCATTTAATCTTTGTTTTGCTCCGACAAGTTGAAAAGGATAACTGCTGGCAAGCGGCCCATGGCCTAGTGGATAAGTGCTTCAGAGGCACGCGAACGCGTGCTGGAGTCCTTGACTCTTGGAACTTTTTGCTTTGTTCAAAACACTTGATATGAGCCCCCAAAAAACTTCTGTTTGGCCATTTTACCTAGTTTTTTGATTATTTGCCAACGGAAGGCGGCGATTCTCCATTTGTGGTTCCTTTTGAAAAATTTGATGTTCTCCACCACTCCGGAGGGGAAGCAGTACTAGAATTTTGTTTTTGATTTTGAACAATATTCTGTCTACGCTTGCAGAATTATCCGATATGATCAGCCCTCGTGATTGTGATCTACCGACACGTGGCATTCCGCACAAAGAAATCGCGGTTGCTTTCTTGTTCTGTCGAGATGTTTTGCCCAAAGCTGGTACTGGCGTATCTGTTGAGGGACTTCGGTTCCTGTGAAATAACACGCCTACCATCTCGGAAGGAGCGGAGAGTAATAGACAGCTTTGGGTCTATCTTGCGAGACGCCGTATACGACAAATTAATAATCGACGAGGAGGACTATGTGGAAATGGATGTTGACGATCCTCCTATAGAGTCCAGAGGACGAGGAGTGCGACAAGCTTGAAAGGCGCAACAGGAAGACTCTTTTGTTGTTGGCGATATCGTGATTTCGAAGGAGAAGGTGGGCTTTTCATTGAACAGTGTGGTATACGATGCTGATCAACGGAGATACTGCAACGAAGGTAGACAAAGCGATCTCGTTGTACCGCTCGTCGGCTAAATGGAACCGCTCTCTCACTTCCATGAACAGCGAGTACCGCTTAATAAAAGTTTTCAAAAGGGACCACCACCGAGAATCGCGCCGCCTTCCGTTGGCAAATAATCAAAAAACTAGGTAAAATGGCCAAACAGAAGTTTTTTGGAGGCTCATATCAAGTGTTTTAAACAAAAGCAAAAATTTCAAGAGTCAAGGATTCCAACATGCGACCTCGTGTCTCTGAAGCAGTGCGCTTATCCACTAGGCCATCGGCCGCTTGCCGCATGCAGTTATCCTTCTCAACTTGTGCAAACAGAGCAAAGATTAAATGGTCCGTAACTCCCTTCAGAGAATCGTTCCGCAAATTCGGAGGGCAGATTTGGATTCAGCGGCTCAAGACACGTCCATATATATACATCTCATTGCAAATGGCCGGATCGACCTGTTGGGGTTCCCTTGTAAGGATAAGACGTTCACTTCCAGAGCTCATCTTTTGTATACTATGAAAGACTATTTTTTACTATGCGCTGTAAACAGATTGAATGAAGAATTCGATCTGTAAAATGTACAACACCGCAACACAGTATATTTGACACGAGTAGGGGAATCGTGTTCCCAGTGACAGCGTCGTGTACGCAAGGAACGGTGGCGAGTTGAAGGCAGGCAGGCAGCAAGTAGGAGAGCGCTTCTATATGACAGTCAGCCTTTTATACACCAGATCGCACGATCTATCGAGGGACGCCGATCTACCTATCGTGCTGGGGTTAGCCATACATTTGTTTGGCAGGTGGTCAAAATTCCAATTATTCAAATTACAATCCGGGCCTTCTTTACCATTTTTAAGAGCTTTGTTCTAGTGGCGAAATTCTGTGCAGAACAGACTAGCTTGCAAGTACAGAGGCAGTGAAAACTGAGAATTTGAGCATCTCGTATCAAGAGTGATCTTGTAGAGGGTTCTCTAGAGAAAAGAAATCACCTTAATGAGAAAATCATTTCAACTGATTTCTCCAAGTAATTGCTTCTTCAGGAACGTCCTCTGCCATGCGATCCAGTACTGATCCCATCGCTACCACCGAGTTACAGCAAGAAACGGAAAAGAGACGAGTCATCGCAGATATAGCATACTTGGTCAATTCAATGTTGATTCTTATTGCTTTGCCAAATGTTGAATAGATTTTCTCAATAAAAGAGGATTCAACCTGCAACTCGCCACATCCATTTTCTCTCCAGAGTGAGCTAAAATCCGCTCAGATCGAACTCCACACTCACATCATCATATTCTTCCAGGAAGTGGCAATATATCGTTCTTTTTTATATGAAAATCGATGGAGGATCAATCACTCTGTCTAAAAACCAGGGCACATTGTTGTTGGGGAATCCCCAATAGGGGGGGGTCGTATTTGGGCTGGGAAAAATTTATTTTGATAGTTGATTTTTCTCGCTTCACGGACGTTGTAAAGGGGGGGGGGTCGTACTTGGTCATTGTTGGGAGGGGGGGGGTCGTATTTACGTTTTGGCGTTGTAGGAGCGGTGGTTGACTTTTTGTGATTTTGAATTTTCCTGTTTCATGCGTACTATATACCCGTCCGTTCAGGGGATCGATTCGATGAGGAGGGACAGAGGGCCGGAAAGGGGGGGGGGGAAGGGAAGAGGTCGTACAGACTCGACTAAAATCCCCAACCAATGATGTGCCGTGTTAAAAAACTAAACTTTAGTTATATCGGTTTTTGATTCAGTATTTCTGCGGCGGAGCAGGGTCGAGCATCACGCCGCGGAAAATCTTTTGCTTGTTACGACACCCCCTCCCTTCTAGAAAGGGGTGTCCGTACGACCTGCCTCTTGGTGACTGTGATGTTTTTAGGCATCTGCTCTGTTTGTCAGGATGTAGCTGTAAATGTTGTGTGTTATGCGAATTGCGTATTGAGAATAGAGCCTTGCGGCCCATTGCGTCCAGATAATATTTTTAAAACGGTATAACTCATTCAGAAACTATCTTTCGCAGAGTGGCTAAGCCGGTCTACGAAAGATGTCTCAGAAAGGCCAGGCTCTATAACAAATACGCTACTTTCCTATTAACTTGCATGGCGGCTCCTGGCCAATAAGGAGGATCGAGGATTTAAGGCTAACCCGCTCTTACATCTTTGAATGGCGACAAATTTGCTCACACCTAATATAGAACGGATGTCTACATGGCATTGAAAATTAGGAGGTTCTCTCAAAGAATGAGCTGAACAGCCTTGCTGTAGCTCAATTATAGCAAATTTTCGCCTGTCGTGAAAATCCTGAAAGTTTTGACGAACGCGAGTTTCTCCCCTTTGAAAGGACATAACTTACAAGGGAACCCCAACAGGTCGATCCGGCCATTTGCAATGAGATGTACACATGTGGACGTGTCTTGAGCCGCTGAATCCAAATCTACCCTCCGTTTTTGCGGAACGATTCTCTGAACGGAGTTATGGGGCTTTTTCCACCGCATTTACCACGCAACAGGTCGTGGGATCGAATCCCTGCTGAGCTTAACTTTTTTGCTTCCTGCGCAAACGTGGCAAAAAGTGGTTTTGCCGTCACTACTACTTCAGTTCTCACCTGAGCTTGCCTGAAGAAAAGTTTGCCTC